TAATAATAATAATATTAATAATAATAATAATATATATATATTCGAATACGATATCATTAAGTTTGACGCATTGACACAATAAGTGAAGTTTGAGAATTGAGTAGAGAATTATTAATTTGATTCCATAAATTCATATCAAGTATGATTACAAGTTGTGACTAGTGATATGCAAAGAAAAAGTATCTACTTCGATAAAAATATGTACTATGAACAAAATGTCAATTAGCACATTAAATTCTAATCTAGGACTAATGTCACACATCCTCTAGTTTAGTTAGCCCTTGTTTGGTTTTAGTAGATTTTAATAAAAATTGACAAAATATGTGATTATTGTGAGTCCTTTAAAATAAGTGAGTAAAATTAATTATCCACTTTAACTTATATTTTTATTTTAGATAAACCAAACAGGGCTTAATCTAAAATATAATTATTTGTCATCTCAAGACATTGATCGGTGGATGCTCCGAGAAAAGCTCACTAAGTCAGTCTCTCCTCCTCTATCTAGAATGAACTAATAGTGGTGGTGGTGACTAGTGTACGCCAGTTGGTATAGTACGCACCCAACAACCTATACTGTTTGAAAGAAGATCTATACTCCCCCTGTTCCCCATCCACCTATACATACACTTTCCTATATATCGATCGATACGCACATTTCTGTAATTACATGATTACATCATTACTGTGATTCGGGTCGGGTTTCGGATGGATCCGATGATAAATGATGGCGGAAAAGGAATGTACTGCTATGCCGAGATGTGGCCGGGGTTTGCTAATGCGACGTCGTACGGAAATGTGGGTATGGATCTTATGGTGACGGACCAGAGATCGAATCGTAATTCGAGAAAGCGGCGCGACGAGGATGAGCGTGTTAAAGGAGCTTCCAGTAGCAACAGCGACGGAAGTAATAGCAATAATGCCTTGGTATATTTTTGACTGAAAATTTAATTGAATTTCCAGTTTACATAACTTATGGATATTGTATAGATATATAACCTGCTTGCATTAGTTCCTTTACTTTAGACGCTAGTTATATTTATTCGTCTGACCAAAATAGACTTATTTGAAATTGGAATTTTATATTCAAAAGAACGAATTCCTTAAACAAGTCTTCAGACGAGAGATTCCGTATATTCTATAGTTACTTACTTCATTCGGATTGCTGGTAGTTTAAGCATGTGAATAATTGATTGTGTTTATAATATGAGCTTGGACTTTATAGTAATTTGGATCTATTGAATTCTCATTTTCTTGTTATTAGCGCATGATTATATAGGCGTATGTATTGAAAGGGACACAGAAGTGGATACCGATGAGCATTTTGTAATTTTTTGGTGTGTTTTATCATGAAGGAGCTAACCCTTTTTTTATTTACTGATTGGTAATTTCTGTCATCATTGTTTATGTTTCATATGTATTTTTGGTGTTTTGCAGCATGAAGGAGACAACAAAAGGTTGAAGACGGTGAGATCAAATGAGAATTGTGAAAATAAAGCAGAAGTAGAAGGGAATTCAGGCAAGGATGCAGAAATGCCTACAAAACTGGCCGAACCTCCAAAGCAAGACTACATCCATGTTCGTGCTAGAAGAGGTCAAGCCACTGATAGTCACAGTTTAGCTGAAAGAGTAATTTCTTTACTCCGATTCTTTAAAATTTACGTTCTGACTGTAATTTCCTGATAATCAACGGTAAGATAATTGTCAATTAAGAAAGTAATTATGTTATCACGATGATGAATTTATGATCGATGAATAAATAGTAGATCATGGAAATCTTTGCCAAATGATTTTTTCTTATTTTCTGCTTGGTGCAGGCAAGGAGAGAAAAAATAAACGAGAGGATGAAAATTCTCCAAGATCTAGTCCCTGGATGTAATAAAGTGAGTATTAATACTTCTCCGACTTTATTCTCCTTAAGTAACAACTATCATTTTCTTTGAATGAAAGTTTCCCTTGTGCAATTGAACTTCTTGTTTCCCTGTGTTTTCTGTTCTGATGAGTGAGGATTTTGGTTGTAGCACCTTCCATCCACGTGTCATCTTTTGATCGGCAAGATTGTTATCAACCAACTGATTCGTTTTTGCACTTTTTAATGGTTTGAGACTACGCAAAAGTGGTCCTATTGCCAAGTGGCAATGGAATATTCTGCTATTCCCTTATTTGAGGCATTATTATGAAGTCTCGTGTACTTTGTTTCAATAACTTCATTTGGAACCACATGCCATGTGCATCGAGCAGAGGGCGAGACTTGTTTAGTTTATCCTAGCCAGGAGCTTTGCTCCCATAGAGCCTTTCCTCTGTTAGGCAAGCTGGGTCGCTGCCCTTATTTTATTGTGGTAACTCTAGTGAGCCTTGTGAAGGTTCGTCGAACCATTAGGGCTGTTTACGGTGATGTGGGTATTTGTGCCTTCGAGTCTAATGTGGTTTGCACATGATGTTCATGTGGGGCGAGGTAGTAAAAAAGAGGGTATTGTAGTTCCAATTAATATAACTCGCAATTGGCAGTGGCCAACTTTATAGAACTATAGAAGTATAGAACATATACACGATACATATAAATCTACCTAAATGGTTCATGTGCAATCGGAATTCTAATTCTCACTTCAGAAAGAACTTACTGCATTTCGTGTCGTATATATAGTAACTAATCTTCACCCAAAGCAATTATCAGTTTTGAGAATGCTTAAAAAGATTGAAACTGACAACCGAAGGAGCTTGCTCTCAGGCAGTAGAAGTTGTTGCTGATATAGACATCATAAATCTCGGTACATTCTTGTACAATATCCAAGATATTATATCACCTTGAGTTAATTTTTCATTCTAATAACTTAGATTTAGAAATCAGTACAGAAACACGGTTTATTTATTTTGTTGATTTTTACCAGTAAAATTTTCAGTCTTTCAGTGCGTTGTAAATTTTTGTGAAGTAAAAATCTTAAGAGGGGTTTATTTGGATCCAGGTTAATGGCAAATCACTAGTCCTTGATGAAATAATTAATTATATCCAGTCTTTACAACGTCAAGTTGAGGTAGATCTCTCTCTCTCTCTCTGGCTACACACACACACACATATGAACTAACAATTATGGATGGTTTTTCTCTCAGTTTCTCTCTATGAAGCTTGAAGCAGTAAATGAAAGAGTGAACCCTGGCATTGAAGGATTTCCTTTAAAAGAAGTAAGTTCTAGAAACATGATTGTCAACTTCAAAATTTCATGGAGTTTTGGTTACTTTGGATTTCAGTCAGTAATTGCACCAGCTAAATCCGTTAAGGGGTGAATGTTATTTTTAAGTCGAGAAGATTGTTTCTCCATGGTTAGGTTAGGTTTTCCTACTGCCATTCATCATTATTATTAATTTATCGTAACTCGTTCAGTGTGAAAGTAGTCAACTTTTCTTGGAACTCATTTTCTAGGATTAGTAGCAGCTTCATTTTTCCCAGAAATTACGTGTAATAGCAAAAGAGAACTCAAAGAGAGGAAGAAAAGTTTCAAAATTCGGATCATAGAATGGAAAACCTTAAAAAGAAATATAGAAAAGGGTTGATGTAATTGTGATAAAATTTCTTTATGTACATGTCAAGTTTACCACCGGTTAATGCTGAAATGTGGTTCGATTTTGCAGTTTGCTCAGCAAACCTTTGATTCTCTGGGCATGACATTTGGTTCACAAGATCCAAGGGAAAACGATAGGGGTGCATCGCCAGAATGGTTACATATGCAGATTGGCGGCGGGTTTGAAAGAGCATCATGAGTTAATAAATTCTAATTAATTGCCAATAAAAGCATTGAGAAAGCTATATATGTTCCTTCATTGACTGCATAATTATACTCAATTCTTAAATCAGAAATACATCATATTTCCATTTTTATCTGGTTTGAGCTTTTGCATCGGAACATTCTCCTATCCTCTATGAAAAAATTGATACAAATTGTAACATGCTTCATTTTCTTTGTCCGGTATGAAAAATAATTCCTCCGTGGTTTGTTTGGTATGGTCGAGTGTACAATAATGGACATTTTAAATAATAAAAGAGAAAAAATCATTTTTATTGTGCTGTCTTGGTATTTTGTACCAATTATAACCTTGTGAATGTTTAAGTTATAAGCTTTTGTATCTTTGTCAATTTCTGTACAATTTTGCAATTGGAAGTATTGATCCTTGAATAAAATTCAAGGTTCTGTCACATATTTGAGTAATTGCATTGAATTGATTTTGATTTTGTTAATAGTTGGAACTTGGAAGTGCTTGTTTTTACTAGGCTAAAGCATGCAAGTTCTTTGATTAGTGATTGTGTGTGGTAACTTTCCGTCACTCTCTATGTCGTAGTGGACCACTTAATTTAGAGCATGTTTGACTAAGTTTAAAATCCAATTAAAATTGAAAATATAGTCGTTATTGGGTTTCACTCGTCTAATAAAAGTCAACGATAACTACTAGTTTTTCAATTTTAATCCGATTTTAATCTTTACCGAACACACCCTTATTATCCTATGCATTAAATTGTATTACGACTCCATTGAATAATGAATTAGGGGTTTTGTTGCCACATATGCCGATAACTATATTTGGTAAGAGTTTGTTAATCACTAGATTATGTGAATCACGGGATATTACCAATCAACTTTCTCGTGGAAATCCATGTCACGATCCCTGCGCATAAGCTTTATAATGCATGTTGGTTTGTCACGTCACGTCATTTGGCATCTTACGAACACGGAAGAGGTTTTTCCACTTGATCATATTTCATCGACTATGGGTGTCAAATTTAAGGCGTTTGGGGTGGGTCGAACTAGCATTCAGCTCACACCTCGCTCTGAAGGTGAAAAAATAAAATTTTCAATTAAACGTTGAAACATGATATTAAAAAAAATAGCTTAGTGGGAAGAGCGGTTCCCTAGCCGAATCTACTAGTCCAATTAACAAACTTATCGTCAATCTTTTTTTCTCGTCAAAATTTAAACATTTGATGCTTTATAAATATATGACTATAAAGTAACTAGGTCAACTTTTAGTTAAGCTCATTATTGATAACAAGTTAGTATTAAATTACTAGTCTAGATCCGACTTGGAAGAAATTTTAAATTGCAAATAATTGAAGAAAAATGGAGCTTTGAATATTTATTCTCTGCAAGTAGTCGTAAGCTACAAATTTCATGACGAGAAGTTTTAAGTGTACATAAATTTTTATAATCAGTTAAAACCACGATATATTTAACCAAACGACGCCGCGTCTTCCAGTGGCTATTCAGCTTTGTGCATCAATTCCCCACGCTCCGTAGTACACGTGAACACCAAAAACTAGTCAAAACCCGTTTCAACCCCATGGCCATTTGTTTCCACGCTCCAAACTACGCGTGGGGAAAATACTACTGAGGTAAATATTTCGCCCGGATTAAAATGAACGTATAAAAACGAGGCCTAAAATGAATTGAAAAAAAATAACCCATTCATTCACTCAACCACCAAATTACGAAGCCAATAAATTTTTTTTTTTTTTTTTTAAAATTTCTTCGTATTGAAAAATTCGATTGAATTGAATTTAGTATCTTTGAAATATCTGAAAAGCGTTGAGTTTTTTTTTCCTGGTGTTTCGATCCGGCGCGATCGAAGGAATTGTAAGGAGTGGAGATGTCAGGATGGAGGGGATCTAGATTAGGGGGTGGTGGAGGCGGCGGCGGTAGGTCTCCGACGGCGGAGCGCATCCCGTCTTCTCGATCGGTCCGGCTAGGGAAGGTCCAGCCACAGGCACCGGGTCATAGAACCGTGTTTTGTAATGATCGTGAAGCTAACGCCCTCACCAAATTCAAGGTCATTAATTTACTTGGTTTTCATTTATTATGTTGCAACTGTGTTTGCTTACGAGTCTTTTGTGTTTTGGGTTTAGTCTGGTGTTAGGGGATGCAATGAACGGGGCAGAGAGGCAGTGTTTGTGTGCATTGTGTAAGGTGCAAAAATTATTTTGGGGTGGGGGTTGAAGATATTTTCTCTTGAGGTTTATCTAAGGGTTTTAGTTTGTTTTCTGATAAGAAGATCATAATTTTAGTATTCATCCTGTTTATGGTTTTGTTATGTTATGTTATGTTATGTTACTGTTATTGTTTTTTAACTGTTGAAAGAGATTTTATTGGTTCAAGACTAAGATGCTTGCATTTCAGATTCTTGTCAAATTTATTTACAGTTCAGAACTTCGATTCTAATGTTAGGCCCAGGAGAAGGTTGATTTGGCTGTAGAATTTACGTGAATTTTGATTATCAGAATAAATACGAATTAGTTTTGGGATTCAATTAATGTTGTTTCCAGTTTCCTTCAGTAAATCTTTACTGACTGAGGACACTTGATGGTTGTGAGTGTTATGAAATGTGGGTTCATGCATATAATTGTCAATTCTTATTTAAGGTTTCATTTCCAAATGTTCTACTAGAGCTTGCAATTGTTAAATATCAAAGAAAAATGAAGAATGTTTTACCTTGTTACATTTCTTTTTCTTCTTATTCACCAAGACGCTGAAGATCTCACGTATTCAGATTAGAATATTTTTAGAAACAACTTGATAGAGTAATGTGGCATCTATCTAGAATAACAATAACTTAACAAACAGCATAATGAAGCAAATAAACCTTATTACAGTAAAATTGGAGTTGAACCTTTCTAGAAACCCAAAGGGCATGAACAGAATAATAGAGCAGAAGGCTATGAGGATTACAGGGGAGTTGTTTATGGCTACGCATGAATAACTAAGTATAAATAATATTCAATTTTCTCCTTCATGGGAGATAGAAGAAAGTGAAGAAGTAATATCATGATTTACATGAATCAAGTAGTGATGTCTCATTGGCCACGTAAGATATTCTTAGAACGGAGAAGAAAATAAAAGATAAACTGAAAATATGCTGATGGCTAACATGAAAATCAACACAGAAAGCGGGGATTTAATTTCTGTAGCACATAGTTAAAAGAAATCTATAAAAAGATAATAGAAATATGAAGAAATCTACAAAAATTAGTAGATTCTGGGATAATGTAACTGAGATGCCACAGTGGGTGTTATTTCTTTTATTTGAATGAATTGTAAATGAGAATGTTATGTTTAGCACGAGAGTGAGTTATATACTTAGTTGAGAGGACTGAACAAGAAACATGTGTTCTAAATAAATCTCAATAAGATTTTCCATTTTTGTTTCTAGAAAGATGATGGTGTTATATATGCTCTTAAACATTTTCTTTTGACCAAATGTTCTGCCACTGAGATGGCATTACTTTACACTGTCCATTTAAGAATACTTTTCATTAAAAGTTGAACCATGTGAATTTGTCTTTTTGCTAATTATGTGGTAAAAAAAACTTTTACTCAAGGGTTTTGATCAATCTCCTAATAAATTTTTCAGGGCAATTCTGTGTCAACAACGAAGTACGACTTGTTTACATTTTTACCAAAGGGGTTATTTGAACAGGTAAGTTTTTGTCTATTGGTCATGAAAGTGTTTATAATTTTCTGTTGAACTGCAACTCTTGGTAAAATTATGCTTGGTACTATCTGCTTATGATGAATTCCACATGAAGTATCCTTTTGCTGTAATGAATTACAGGGATGCTTGCTGGAAATCCTGTTCTTTGGAAACTAATTTTGGACATGGACCCAAAAATTTGTTCGGGTCTGGAAGTCCTTAACAAATTAAGAATATTGTTTGACCCATCAAAGGAAGTGTAGGAAAAATAATAATTATTTTTTCTTAATATTAGAAACTTGGGATTAGGTTTATACGAAATTTTTAACTGAATGTATTTGGAAAAATAAAAATTGAGAATTATATGTGTTTCCATTTGTGGAAGAGAAGAGAAAAGAATGCAACTTGTTAAAGCTTTCACACTCTTTATGCTTTGTAGAAGTTAAGAGGAATTGTTTGATCCAAGAACATTTGTTTATGACGTTTAAAATTAAGTTTCTAACAGAATTTTAAACAATTGGAAGTCTCTAGGTCCTTGTAGGTTATTTAAAGCTTGTTTAGGAAGTGTTTATAAACCGTTTATATTATAAATTCATAGAAATGAGTGGTTGATAAGTGGGTAGAACTTGTAGATTCCATAAAATGTGTGAATAAAAGTTGTTTCACTATTCATAAACCGTTTATAAACATTAGCCAGACATGGGCTTAGAGTTAATTGATGAATTAGTGTAGTTAGAATAAGAAATGTTTATAGCATGATTTATGATTGTCTGCTCATTTAGCTCCTTTGTCATTGTATTTCCTTTTGATTTACCTGATAATCCTCTATTTTTCTATTTATGTTGACAGTTCAGGCGGGTGGCTAATCTCTACTTTCTTATGATCTCAATCTTGTCATGCACTCCAGTGAGGTACGCTACTTAAAACATAATTTAGCTCATCAAGGAGAAAGAAAAAATAGTTGGGATAATTTTAATTTCTTGACAGTTGTCTTTTTGAATGTATGAACTTATCTATTTATTGGATGGAAAAATACATTCCAGAAAGTGATAGGGTAATTACAGCAATGGCACAATACAGTCGTATGGTATATTTTTATGTACTAAGGATCAGAAAAGTAGGGATGGGGAATGATAGAGAGCTGGTATAAATGATTCCTTTCTATAGGCAGATGTGGGGATTTTTGCCATTGGTATTGTGTAAAAGAGCTGGGTTGATCTGACGTTTTCTGTGGCTTTAAGTTTGGTTGAAATCTTTTGGATTAGTGTTTCCTTCATCATGTTCAACGTGGTTTCTGCTTTCAT